AAGTCTTTTAATGTTCCATTTTAATATTCAGATAGAGCATCAACTCCGTTCAGCAGTACGTCCGATGAAAATTATAAGTGAATGATATGATGATGAGAGTCATTGGGATATCCCGAGAACAATGAGTTGAGCATTTCAGGAAGATGGCATGGCCGAATGTGCACCCGGTGATGAGAATGCTTTCACTACATCAACCACAATGCACATCCTGAAGCACCATCAACCAATTTCTCTTCTCTCGGTATATTCCTGGACGGGGAGCCATTTTTTTGGTTGGAATGTATTTGATTGTGACAGAGATGTTTGTGGTTATTTTTTTTGTAGAATTGAGTAGTGACCAACAGACTCAGGGGGAAGGAAGAATATTGAATGAGCTGAATTGGTGCACAAATGTCGATTGGACATAGGGGAAAGGGGGCTGATCTCGAGGTCACGCGGTGACCACTGGTCAAAACAACGCGATTGTAGCTCTTTTCATTCCCATCTATTGTGGAGATAAGAGGCAGAAGAGGCAGAGGGTTGTTCTTTGATCTGTCTGGTGGACATTTGGATAACGAATGGTAAACAGAAATTGGAAGAGTACAAACAGAGTACAAATAGGATCCAGAAAAGAGAAAAAGAAAAAAATGGGCAACATTAGGAGAAGTTTTTGTTGTGAAGGTCACAAACTAATGAGGGTCAAATTCTTTTTTTCCTTTTCTTTCTTTTGCTTGACCTCTATCCGATCTCATCTTCCTAACCCTTTCCCAATATATACATATATACTTTCGTTTTCTATCTCGAATCTCATAAAAATTGACTCCCCTAACTACGAAATATAATTAGCAAAAGAGCATGTTGTACATCAATGAAGAAATTTCATAAGGAATTTTTTTGCAAATAAAAATTCGAAGAAATTTTTCAATTCTTTTCTCGAAGTTTTACAATATGCTTTTCAATGCCAGCACAATAATAAAATTTAAAAATTTAAATCCGCTTTTAAATCAAAAATGTGTGAACCTAAACTCCTCATTATTTGATAAATTTTACCACTTAATCCCTCACTTTTATCAGTATTTCATAATTCAGTGATTAATTCAGTGTACATATATATTTAATCTTTTTTCTATGCAGCTCAACTTTAATAATGTGCATAATTCATATTTTAAAAGTTTGTGGTTTAGTTCAATCCATCATACTTCTGTTTCTACCTATGCAGTACAGAAGATAAATATGCATATCAAACCTTGAAAAGCTAATATTAAACTGTTTTACAAAATTAGCCAAGCTTTACAGAGAGATATTATAAATAATCCTTCAAATGTAAAAGCTTTAAAAAATGTGTATCACCATAAAATCAATGAATGATGATTTTCATGGACTTTCAATCGGAAAGAATTTCACACTCACGTTTGATTCGAACTTATTATTGTGTCTCAACTCGTGAATATTTCTGAAATTTCAGAAGAAATTCTATATTAAAGAATCACTTTGATTAAATCAAATTTAGTTGAAATTAATCGAATTATTATACTCATTAACAACATAATAATTTGGCAGTTTTTGAAGATTTAACTGAATTGGAGTAACAATGCACCGATAATACTACTTTAATTTCATGCTTCCTTCGATTTTGGTTCTTCCACTTTCAAGAATTTATCATTGAGCCCTTTTGGGACTAACGATTGAAATATCTGAAAAAATTGTATTATATCCAGAAAATGAAAAATTTTTTGAAACTTTCAAAAAATTTCCGGACTAACAAAAGGCATATTTATTCAAAAACTAAATTTGCCAAAAAGTTATAAAATATGAATTGATATGGAATTTAAATTAGTCAAATGAATGACTGGACTTTATGCTGTTTCTTCTATAAATGATTAGTAACTTCTCATTTGATTAATTGTTATTATTGAGCAGATTCATTTTTGTTGCATTTTTTATTTATTATACAATTGTAATTTATGGCTTTGATTCAAAATGTATTTTTTATAAATAAATTGTTGAAATTTAGTAAAATCTCATCAGTTTATTTTAACTGATAAAATTTTATCAATACTGAACAGAATTCAGAAAAAAAATCGAAACTTGATCATAAAGTTTAAAAGCAGAATCTTGGGCTTTTTTCATGATTGGTCGCTCTCTAGTCCATATTCGATGAACAAGTAAGATAGTTGTTCCAAATGCAAACAAACTGAACAAAGCTGGTAGAAGGAGCACCAATATGAACAGTCCACACTTAATCAGAACTTAATTAAGTAAAAGATTTTGACCAGGCATCAAAAGCTTGTAATTTTAAGTGAACGAAAATTTTCATGCTTATAATAATTTATTGTTGATTAACTTACCATTTCAATAGTTAAAAAAATTACCAACCGCTTTTCAAAATAAATTTTCAACAACACTGGAATGAAATATGAATGATTCAGTTATCCCATATCTGGAAGTTATAACGAAAGAACTTCGCAATGTGAAATTTGCATAATACTAACAAAAAATCTTTGTACAAATTAACTAACCGTTTTCCAAAGTAAATTTCCAACAAAAACATTTGATATTTTTCTTATTTTGTTAATATCTATTACTTTTCGGACAATTTGAGCATCTGGTATGATAATTTTCGGATATCAGCAAATCAATCATTAAATAATCTTTGCTTCTCTATTTTCAATTATTCATTGTTGGATGGATTAAAATTACTCCTTTAATGCATAATAAAAAAATGTCACTTGAAAACGATAATGATATTTGTAACTGCTTGACATTGCATGTACAATACATGAAATACCAACAGTCACTTAATAAAATTAGCAAAAGTTTGCAAAAATCTTGTAGAATATTAATTTACTCTGAAATTAAGATAATTGTCAATATAATGATGGTAATCGGATGTCAAATGAAATATTATCTGATATGTTTACTGTATGCTTTTACATGGCAGATTTTTTCATACTTCATTTTGATAATCATCATGTAAAATTACTTTATTGCATTATCACTGAAAATATGCAGCGTGATCACTGCATATTCAATATCTTACAATCACTTCATAATGACGGAAAGTTAGAAATATAAATTAGAATAATATTGGAAGCGATGAAGATGAGTAAAATTTGATTCTCTTTGAATGCAGTCATATTAGCTCAAAAAAGATCTCAGATGCACATAAAATTTCAAATAAGTAAATTTTTCGGCTAGCAAAAAAAAAATACGCTGCAATAGGACAAGGATGAACGACATTTTCGTACATCTCGCGAAGAAATTATATACTTCAAAAATTAAGTGTCGTATATTTAACACGACACTTAATCTTTGAAGTATAGAATTTCTGCTTAAGTTTGCTACACTCAAACTATAACTCAATTATATATA